ACTTGGCAAGACAAGCGCCCACCAAGAGTCTCCGGGGGAAGGCCCAGCATACCTACCCTGTATGCCCCAAGACCGTGGCGTGGTGCAAGGGCCCCCGGCCGTGGGCGTCCCTGAGGTTGACGTTGGCCCCGTTCTGGAGCAGGAATTCACAAGTGACCAGGGAGCCCTGAGAGGGAACAGGCACCCTCAGAGCAGGTTTCAGAGAGGGGTCAGGGGCCCCCTTCCCACTGGCCTCCGAGCAAGTCTTCCTTCTCTCCCGCTTCCTGCCCAGGCCCTCCTGCGCCCCCAGCGAGCCGGGCAGCGGGGGGAGGTGGGTGGCAGCGGCGGGGGAGCAGCTGCTCCTGGGGGCTCCCACAGCCCCAAAGCAAGGAGGCTGGCACTTACCCCGTGGACGGCCTGGATCAGCGGCGTGGACCGGTTCTTCTCCACGTGGACCCAGTTGACGTCTGCCCCGTGGGCCAGGGCTTCGGCCATCCGAGGCAGGCTCTTCTCGTAGGCAGCATGGTAGAGCTGCAGGCCTGGCAGGAACCGCTCCACCTCTGGAAGATCCGCAGGGGAGGCGGCCGCCCCGGCACCTTTAGGCCGCTCAGCGTCTGGAAGCAGAAAGAAAGAGAGTAAATCTCCAGCCACCCTCTTGCCACCTGGGGCTCCGGCCAGCCCAGCAGAAGCTCAGCCAATGCCCGAAAGGAAGAGCTAAGCCTGGCCCTTCCCTGAGGCCCGGGACTACAGCAAAAGGCAGCCGGGGCTTTCTCGATGAATTCTGGCCATTGCGAGGCAGCCTTTTAGAAAGGACGCTCAAACACCACCACCACCCCGATTTTGAAGGCAGCAGGCCCACCCAACGGCCTCCCTGGCCGCCTCCTGCCCAGAGAGACTGGCCGGCACCAGGGGCAACCCTCCTGGCATCACGCCACGGGGTCTCTCGGGAAGAGGGCCCGGGCGGGCCGACCCTCTCCTCCTACCTGGCTCGTACAAGGTGCTGGCGGAGGTGGCGGAGGCCAGGCGCTCCCGGCTGTCGCTCCCACCCTGCTGGAACCCACTGTCGGTGCTGCGCACTGTTGGACGGGAAAGCAGCCAGCCCTGAGGAGGCCCCACTGGGGCCCGAAGCTCTTGGCCTCCCGACAGGCAGGCGAGCACACCGTCCCCTCTTGTCCTGGCCTCCATCCTTCCCCCCCCCCCACACACACACACACACACACCGTGGACAAGCTCTCCTTCGCTCCCTGGTGGCAACCACTGAAGCTCCGCCCGGGCATCAGGCCCGTTCAGAACGGCTCTTGTTCTCCCGAAAGTCCCGAATGACACAGCAGAGAAGACCGGGGGGGGGGGAAGGGGAGAGCAGACAGGCACGACGACGCAGCCCCCGCCACGCGGTGGAGAGTCACAGGGACAGCCCCGAGAGCAGTACTTACTGCTACGCAGCTTTGAGGAGGCATCAAAGTAGGAGAAGAGCGAATCTAGCTCATCGGGACAGAAGAGAGACTCCCGCCTCGCCTCCTCGTCGCTACTTATGCCCAGGACTGGGGACATGCGGGTTAGCAAAGCAGAAGGCGCGCAGGCAGAAGGAAAGGAAGGAAGGATGGGCAGAGAGCGTGAAGAGGGCGGAAAGAGGGGCGAGAGCAGGAGGTTAGTACCCGGCGGTGTTTGGGGAGGGCCCCCACCCCACCCTCTGCCCCCCTCTCCCCAGCCAGACCCCAGTCTCCTCCTCGGGTGCCTGGTCCCCTCCCCTCCGCCCAGCCTAGGAAGGCCGTTGGCCCTGATCCTCGGCAGCCCCAATGCCTGCTCTTCCAACCTCGCCACCACCTTTCTGTGCCCTTTGTGACAAGAGGGACAGGCTCGGACGCTGCCTTTCCTTCCCCTTCCCTAAGGGAGGACTCTCCGAGGAAGAACAGAGGAGGAGAGAAAAGAAAGAGGTGCTGGGTCGGGCGGGCGGGTGTGTGTGTGCGGGCACTGGAGCGTTTTGGCTTCTATGCCTCCGCCACGCAAAAGCAAAAGGCGGCCATACCTTTGAGAGCAGCCGCGGTCTGCTGCTCGCTCGGGGGCCGGGGCACCTCATGGACGCTCTGCCTCTTGGCTGCGTGGCCTGGAGGCACGGCTTTTCCTCCCGGGGATGCAGAGGCCACAGGGCACTTGGCCACAAACCTCCGCTCCACGTACTTGGCCCGAATGTACTCCTCTTTCTGCTGTCTGTGCACAAAAAAAGCAGCTGTGTTTACCCCCAAGCTGAGCAGAGCTCGCTGGAAGGAGAAGACCCCTAACTGCCCAGAGCTGGCCCCTTCTCCTTTCGCTTGTGCCACGGGACATCGCTGGCCCAGCCGCCAGTGGCGAGAACCCGCGGCCCCTCATCCAGCAAGTTGAGGGCAGGGGCAGAGCCGCCCCCCTCGCCCGGCTCATCCCCCACAAGCCGCGCTTTCAGTCTTGAGACGAGCTGGGCTCCGACATCCGCCTGCGGCTGCTCATCACCCACCACCCAGCCGCTGCCGCTGCTGTTGTTGCGTGGGAAAGCACGTCACACGTCAGACTAGTCAGGCACAGGGGGGCGAGGGGGGCTGGAATCCTGTTCCCTCACAGAGCCAGGCGCCAGCAAGGCTGGTCCATTGACTCCGTGGGGACTTGGTTTAAAGGGGGCACCTCTAGTTACACGAAGCCACCAGATGTCAGCCCAGGAGAAAACCGAAGGCAGCTGAAGCGGAGGAATGTCGGGGCTCTGCATCTGCACCCCCCCCTTTCCCTGTGTGAGAAAGCCAAGCACGGCCGGCTAACTACCTGTTACTTCCTGGCTGGGGCTTCTGAACTCCCGTTTCTTCCAGCTCTGCTTCGTACACCCTGTTTATGACGTCATTTCCCAGCTCACACATCAGCTGCAAGAGAAGTGGAGTGTGTCTGTGTGTGCGTGCCAGGGGTCAGCAGAGGGTTGGCTCCCTTCCCTTTGCACAACAAAAGCTATCGTCCACACCCTTCCCTTTGCCACAGGCCAAAAAGCTGGGATGCAGGCAGGGCAGCTGCGCAGGGCAAGGAAAGGCGGTCCAACCGGCCCTCTGGCTCGGACCAGACCCCCCCCCAGGCCACCAGCAGAGATCTGGGTCCCCTAAAGTCCATACCCAACCCTGGACGTCGAGGGCCACACTGGCTCTCTTCCCCCTCAAGCATTTTCTCTCAGAGGCTTTCTTTCTTTATTTTTTCTAAGTGAAAAAGCCCACCCCACCCCACCCTCATCCTCCAGTGGGGTTTTTAAAAATACTGGGATTGGATGCAAGGAATTCTCCTGCTTCCAGTGGCTGGCAGCTCAGCAGCCTCCAGGGGAAGCTGCTCGGCATCAAGAGGGGATCCAAACCACCCTCACCCACCCCCAGCCGGCCAGCATGCATTTCCCCAGCAGCAGAACATGTGCAGCAGGACACGGGCGTGGAGGGAACACAGTGGCTTGCCTTCCCCCAACCTCTCCAGCCCTCACTCTTGCCCTTTCCTGTTCTTCCCACCCTGTACTGGGGAGGGAGCCCCACCCTGCCCCACAGCCAGTACCTTCAGAAGCTCTGGTTCCCACGAGTCCAGAGTCAAGGACCGGACTTTAGAGAAATGGACACCCAGGCTCCTGAACAAGAGGAGGGAAAGGGACTGCAATGAAGGAGGCGGAGAGACCTCAGGCGTCCGTCCCCCGCGCCGCCCGCCCGCCCGTTCTAGGGGCTCGGCTGATCCTGCACAGCCAGGAGCAACGGGCCAGCCGCGCCCCCGCTGCCCCGCAACCCACCTGTGGATGCCGGAGCATTCGATGCAGAGGGTGACACCCAGGTTGATGCTGGCCCACCGGGGATCTGCCAGGCCACAGTCGCAGCACACCGCATTGCCCGCCATGCTCTGGACCCGCTGGAGGGAGCTCTCCCCTTTCAGCAGCTTCTCTTTCGAATCTGCGCTGGACTCTGGGCTCCCCACGGAAGGGGACGGCTTTCGCTCCACCTTTGGGGAGAGGCCGAGAGAGGAGCGGAGCTAGACACACACACACCCACACACCCTTTCCACGCTCAAGGCCATCTCTTGCCCCCTCCTGCCCCCACCCACCACAGCTTGCTTGCCCAGTCCCCTTGGTGCAAGGCAGGCCTCCATTGGCCGGGCAGATGGGACAGCCAGCACCAGCCAT